GACTCCATTTTGGAAACCTTCAGCCCCAAGACCTAAGAGTATTTGATGCTCTGCTCACACTAGCCCAACCTTCTAGCTCTCATAGTCACTACTCCCATTGTACCTGCTTTTCAACCCCGCCAAGACTTCCTCAAACCTTTCCTCTCCATCTCTTAGCCCTCCAGTTAATGTAACAGTTTTTTGGGTCCCCCCCCCCCTTTCTATTCTCAACAGGAAAAGTAGTTCTGCCCTGTCCTGCTCCAGGGAATCTCTCTAGCTGAACTCTGGACTCTAGCCCCACACCCAACTCCTAATTTATCAATTATTTACTCTCTCCTCCCGGTCTTCAACTTATCTTTTCCTGGCGGTTTTCCCTAAGCACACAGACTTGATCATTATCTCTTGAAACGACCAGCACCAACTAATCAACCTTAGATCACATGACCTGATATTCTCCGTGTCTAGATGTCTCTCCTGCCTTTCGTGGCCACATCTGTCACCCACACACTCTTCACCCCTCTGAAGCCTGACCTCCGCCCCCACCACACTCTGAAACTCCTCCAGACCAGGTTCCAGTGACCTAACAGGCCAGGGTCACATTTCACTTCTTATCAAACCTGGCACCATCTCTAGAAAGATCTTCCTTCTGCTTCTGTCACACCCACTCACTGGGGTTCCTTTTCCCCTCCAGCAGCTCCTTCTAAGTCTCCCGAACACGTCTCTTTTCCTCTTTCTCTTTGGTAAATGAGGATCCACCCTCCACCTCCTCGCCCTCCCACTGCCTGTACACTCTCTAAGCAATTTTGTCACAGCCTAGGGCTCCGACGGTCATTTACATATGCTAATCTCAGACATTCTTGGAACCTCAAACCTTATCTTGGTTTCTGGATATTCCTGTTTTCATGGCCTACAGGCACTTCAACCTGAACAGGCACTGAACCAAATTTATCATCTTCCCCATTTCCAAAACTGACTCGTCTGTACTTTCTATCCACGTACATGATAACCAGCATCCATCCAGTGACTCAGGCTAACTGCGTGAGAGAAGCCAAGCTGGTCCTCTCCCTTCTCTGTCCCCACCCCCCCACCCCAGCTCCTCTGGCTCCAAATCCTGCTGAATTTACCTACCCAGGATCTCTTCAGTCCTTCTGTTCATCTCCCTTTGTTTGACACTACTGAAGTCAGACCTTTAGCAATCCTTTTCTGGATCACCTCAATAACTTCTAGACTACTCTCCTTGCTGGGAACGCTATCTCTCTCCTCCACTCTAAAGATTGGATATTGTTTCTTTATTTGTCACTGTTATTCATTTATGTCTTCTTTTTCTTTAGTGTATTTTTTTTTAGATTTTTATTTATTTATTCATGTATTTGAGAGAGAAAGAAAGAACAGTAGAGGGAACGGCAGAGGGAGAAGGAGAAGCAGGTGCCCCACTGAGCAGGGACACCAACACACAGGGCTCAACTCCAGCCCAGGACCCTGGGATCATGACCCGAGCCAAAGGCAGACACTTAACCAACTCAGCCACCCAGGTGCCCCTTTATTGTCTTTTTCAAACGAAAATGTAATATACTCTCATTGTGAAATAGCCAAAAAGTTTGTAAAGTTATAAAGAAAAAAAGTCACCCCCAGTTCAGTCCTCAAATCCTACTCCCAAATAAATCTTTTTTTCCCCTAAAAATATGATATTAAACATGCTGTATTTCTTCTATTTTATTTTCTTTAAAGATTTTATTTATTTATTCAGACAGCGCATGCACACGTGTACATGCGCGCATGCAGGGGAAGGGGCAGAGAGAGACGGAGAGAGATCTCCAGCGGACTCCGATCTCGGAGCCGATGTGGGGTTCGACCCCACCACCCTGAGATCATGACCTGAGCTGAAATCGAGAACTCAAGGCTCAACTGCGCTACCCAGGTGCCCCTGTATTTCTTCTACCTTAAGAGGCACCCCCCCCCCCAATATTTAACATCTCGGAAACCAAAATGTATCCCACAACCCACGGCATCTTCGGTTAAATACGCTACTGCTCTGCAATGTACTGTTTTTACTTGTTAATAGGGTCACGATTCCAAACCAGCACTGGCTCCGGGATGATCTTTCTAAAGTATGAATAGGGTCAGGTCACCACCTTCCCCACAATTCTTCAAAGCCTGCCCCCCACCCCATGCTCCAGGCCCTCATTTTCTGACTCTGCCCTACTTTCCCAGTATCCTTTCCAGCCTGTCCACACAGTCTTCCTTAAAGCCAAGTAGTTCTATTCTCAGTTAGTTCCCCAAATATGCCACGCTGAGCCAAATCTTTGTGCTTTTGCACAATGTTTCCTCTGCCTCTTCTTCATCTCTTCTATGCAAAGTTGCCTCTTACTGGAAAACTGCCCTGATCCCCCAGGCTAAGCCTGGGTCCTTCCTGTATGCACCACCCCTCAGCTTCTCTGGCATCTGGTGCACATCTCTGATAAGTCACTTAAAACAGGTTCATGCCAGTTCTCTTGTTTGTTGCTCCCACTGCATAGTGATCTCACGAGCAAGCTTTCTTCTTTAGATCCATTTCTAGTAGTGCCAGAACGGCATGGCTGCCCCATAAATATTTTTGGAAATAATGAACTTTACATAAGAGAGGCATAAAAGTGCTCCCTGAGGTAAGGGGAAGAACATTCTACGTTACCATCCTATAACCTGGGACGAGCGGGAGAAAGAGGAGGAGAGGAGGTCTGGGAGCTAAACCCTTGTGCAACCAGAAATGTGAAGCAATGGGATTTTTTTCCTGCTTTTTCCTTGCTTCTGCTTCTCAGACCTATTCATTCCACCCTTAACTAAAGATAATCTGATTCCAACAACCATGCCTCGATGAGCCCTTTCTTTCTCCCAGTCCTTTCAAGTACTGCAAGTCCATATCATCGCTCCTCCTTGCCACAAAACCCCTTTTTAACCAGAAGTTTTGAAAAATACCAAAGGGGGAAGGAAGGTTCTTTCCATTTGCCCCTCCAAAATACCCACCTGAATTTTCCACTTGGAATCCCTCCGGCCCTACGTGTGGACACGCCTCTCAGTCCCATCAGGGCTCCACACCAGGAAATAAACACAAAAGGCAGCTAAAATTTAATACAAAATGTTTATTTTAACAACCATCCTAAACGCTTAACATTAATGTTTCTCTTCCGTGAAAAGCACTATCCCCCCTCTCAACCCAGTACTAGGTTTGAATTACAGAAAATCCCAAAAGTAGACAAAAATGTTTCCCAGTCCTTCATTCTGACCTAGATAATTTATAGCCAAGGATTCCAATTCATTCTTGGAAAACTACCAGGGGACTACTGGGGACTTAAGATGAAGGTCAGCGAACGTGGCTTCTGTGGCGGTCACTAAGGTTGGTCTTGGTCTTTGTTGACAACTGTCAGGCCAACATACTTTCCATAACCTCCCTTAGCACATAGGACAGGGACTCACGAAACAACCAAAAATAGTAGAGCAGAAGGGAAAGAGGAAAAGATAAGGGGGAGTATAGGAGAGGTAAGTGATATGACAGGGCAGGAGAAAATGGAGACTTTAGGATAGGGAGGGTAGCCTAGAGGAGGGCATGGAACCATAAAGGTAAAGAGACAAAACAATGAAAGAATCTTGGGCATGGAAACAGGACTGTCAAACAGGATCTCAACTCAAAGACCTCAACTAAAGAAAGGGACGGACCAAGAAGTGGACAGATCAGCTGAAAGGGGAAAGCAGCCGTTAGGAAAAGCGCTGCGTCTTGAGGCCAAGGACAAAGACAGCTCTGGGCTACAAATGGACTCGGAATTAGGACGTTTCCAAACTCCCAGTGGAAGAGAATCAAGCGGCCATTAGAAGGTTTGGAGCAGTGGGGTCAAACCAGGCAAGACTGCAATATTCTTACCACTTCCAAGGTGCGGGGGGGGCGGTGTGGTGTGGAGATGAGGGGGGGAACCTCACATTCGGAGAGAAAAGACACCACCACTCAAGCCAACACAGAAGGGACCTTGCGAAAATCTCTTCCGCTCACAAACTCTGGAGGAAACAAACACCTTCACTGCGTGATTCCTGTTCCTTTAAAGCTGCTGAGGCAATCAGCTGTCAAACCGATTTCTCCGTAACGTGAGACCATTGCTAGGAAGAAGAAAGGCCGAAGCCAACCGGTAACTTTCAGAGTTGATTTCTCTTCTCGGTACACACTTGGGTGCATTTGGCTCTCTGCAGCCCGGGCCTGAGGACCGGCCCCCGCGGCTGGTGGGGATGCAGAAAGGCTTGTTGGGGATGCACACTGAGCCCCCGACCTCGACACTGCCTTAGGGAATCCGAAATTCCCAGCCCAGAGCGGTCAGAAAGGCACCTTTCCGGGCACCGCAGAACGCCCGCGGATTCGCACCTTCCCCCCCAGCGGCTTTCGCCAGGACTTACGCAGCACCGAGAGGGCCGGCGCGGACCGTCCACGCCTTCGCTTCCTACGTGGCCGAGACCCCCGCGAGCGGCCGGTCGCTCACCTGCCGGGTCTGCCCCGCCCCGGGGGTTGCGCGTTCGGCTCAGCGGGTCGCTGCGGGCTCCGGCTCGCGGGCCCCTCGCCCCCCGCGCGCCCCCGGCCAGCAGCCGCGCGACTCGGCGGGGCTGGCGGGGCAGGGCAGACCTCAGAGGGCGGAAGGACAGGCGGAGGCGGGCCGGGCCCTTCCCCCAGAGCCGGGGAGGCGTCGCCAGCGCGCAGGTGAAGCCGACTCTGACCTATCCCGGCAACTTTCGCTGCAGGGACCGGAGCCGGGAGGCCCGCGGAGCCGCCCTCTGCCGCCGGGGCTGCGTGCGGGTGACCCGACCCGGGGGGGCCTCTTCCCGGGGAGCCCGCGCGGCTCTGGGCGCGCTCGGGTGCCGCGAGCAGCGCCGCCCTCCGCGGCTGATGGAGGCGGGTGGCGCCGCCCCGGGCGCAGGTGACACACGACAGGCCGGGGTTTCGGCCGGCCGCGGGGAGCGCAGGAAGGGCGAAGCGCTGACACCTGGGGCCGGGACGCGCCAGCGCAGGCATGGCCCAAGAGTTGAGCCAGGAGGCCCTGCTGGATTTCCTGTGCCAGGCCGGGGGGAGAGTGACCAACGCCGCCCTGCTGAGCCACTTCAAGAGCTTCCTGCGGGACCCCGACGCGCCCCCCGGCCAGCAGCAGCGCCGCCGCGAGCTCTTCAAGGGCTTCGTCAACTCGGTCGCCTCAGTGCGCCAGGACCCCGACGGCACCAAGTACGTGGTGCTCAAGAGGAGGTACAGGGACCTTGTGGGGGAGGAGGAGCTGCAGCGACCCCGAGACCCGCCCGCGCCCGCCCCTGCAGGGGGGGCTGCGTCCTGCGCCCCGCAAGGCGCGCGCGGGGGAGAGCGGCGGCGGCGGCGCGAGCAGGAGCCCGAGGAGGAGCCCGCGGGGGCCGCCGCGCAGGCCCCGCGCTCAGGTGGCGGCGGACGCGCCCCGGAGGCGGCCCCGGCGGGCGGCGGGCGTGGGGGCGGCTCCGGCCACTGGCCGGGCTCGAGGTGCGCCGCGGCGGAGGCCCGGGGCCGCTGCTGCCGGGAATGCCTGCAGAACGGCCTGGAGGGGCCGCCGGGCGAGCCGGTGCTCGGAGCAGCCCCGGGCCCCAGCCCCGCCGGGGAGCAGCCGGCGCGCGGCCCGCCGGCCCGCGGCCCGCCGGCCCGGGACGATCGCGGGGCTCCGGGGCAGCAGCAGGAGGGCGCGTCCGCTGAGCGCGGCCCGGGGTCCGCAGCGCCCTGCTCGCCTCCTGCAGCTGTCGAGGCTGCCGGGAGCCGGGCTTCCCCGCCGACCCCCCTGTCCCGCCCGGTTTCCCCCGGAGACCCGCCGGAGCTGTTGACCCCGGACTCGCACGACTCCACCCAGCAGCAGCAGCGGCAGCGCACCTGGGAGTGGGTGGCCAGACACCCCCAGATACCCGAGGCCCGGGACCGCGGCCCCACTCGAGCCTGGTCGGTGCTGCCGGACAGCTTCCTCCAGCTACCCACGGGGCTGAGCCTCTGGGTCCGGGAACTTGACTCGGAGCCTCCAGACCCCGCTCTTGCGCCTCCTCCCGTCCTTCCTGTCGTCCCGGAGCCCCGTCCCGAGAGCCCTCCGCGGGAGGTCTTCCGCAGCATTCGTTGTCAGCTGTCCCTCCAAGACCTGGATGACTTTGTGGACCAAGAAAGCCACGGCAGCGAGGAGAGCAGCAGTGGGCCCAAAGAGTCTCCCGAGGGTTCCGAAGAGGGGCTGCAGGTTGCTCTGGGAACCCCAGACTGGAGAAAGTTCAGGAATGCAGCTGGAAGCCTTTCTCCCAAGGAGGGAAGTCCCAGCAAGAGCCTTCAGGGCCTCAGGAGCAGAGGCGATGGTCACTGCTCTCAGCAGGGCTCAACGGAGGCTAACGGCCTTGCAGGCCACCCCCAGGAGTCTTTGCCCTGGCCAGCTCCCAAGTTCAGGAGATCCCTCAGGAGGAGCTCTCAGGCAGGGAGAGCCAAACTGTCTTCTTCCGATGAGGAGCATCTTGAGCAGGACTTGCTGAAAAGGACCCGTCGCCCACCACGGTCCAGGAGACCCTCCAAGGCAGGAGGAGGGCCCAGCCCAAGAGTGGATGCTGCTTTGATACCCAAACCTGTGGGCAATAAGGCCTCTGTTGCTGAGCGCAGTCGGCCACACACCCCCTGGGCCCGGGCTGGGGAGGAGTCTGCAGCCACGGTCCCGCACAGACCTTCTGAGCACAAGTCATCTGTGGTCCCCCTGGACGCCAGGGAGCACGAATGGATTGTGAAGCTTGCCAGTGGCTCTTGGATTCAGGTGTTGACTTTGTTTTGGGAGGACCCTCAGCTGGCTCTGCACAGAGACTTCCTGACGGGGTACACGGCCTTGCACTGGATGGCCAAACACGGGGACCTCGGAGCGCTCCAGGACTTCGTCTCCAGCACTCGGAAAGCAGGGATTGCCCTTGATGTCAATGTGAAGTCTGGTTGTGGGTACACCCCTCTACACCTTGCAGCCATCCATGGTCACCAGGGGGTCATCAAATTGCTAGTGCAAAGGTTGGCCTCTCGGGTGAACATCCGGGACAGCAGCGGGAAGAAGCCATGGCAGTATCTGGCCAGTAATACCTCTGGGGAGATATGGCAGCTCCTGGAAGCCCCTCGGGGCAGGCCCATTTTTCCGGCGTATCCTTTAGTCCAAAGCTCTTCCCCCACCAGGAAGGCCAAGAGCCGGGAAATATCTAGAAATATCACCCGGAAGACTTCCTTTGCCGCACTCCTCAAAAATCAGCACAGCAAATGGAAGTTGGCCAACCAGTATGAGAAATTCCCCAGTCCAAGGGAAAGAGAAGAGTATAGCGACTGAGGTGCTCCCCTCTTTCGAACATGCAGCGGCCACACCCCGATCCTTGAGCTGTTCATTGAGAAAATGCAGGGGCCGTAGAAAAGTCGCTGAGGGGTTGGTAAGATCGTGTTAAGATGGTCAACTAGTGTTTACCTGCCTGGATTTTGTGTCAGTGCATCCCAGACCACAGGGGTCATCCAGGCTTCAGGACAGCCCAAGTCTCGGGACCAGCGAAACCTACACACGGGGCAGAGGCAGGTGCTTGAAACCCAGGAGGTATTCCTCCCCTTCCCCCGCCAGCACAGTCCTGGGCACCCGGAGCTACGCTGTTTTCCAAAGCAGCTACCCCAGGCCTTGGCTACACGGGGAACAGATGTCTAAGAAAAAGAGAGGCAATTCGAGGGATTGATGAAGCTCAGATAAAATCCTTTCTGGCCAGTAGCTCTCCTGCTTCTGCTTGTTTGGAGAATAAATCTTGGCTGAGAGTATAAAGCACCAGGTTTGAGATCAGATAGCTCCTGCTTTCTCCTTTTTCTCTTTTTCTTCCCTCCTTCTTTCTTCTTTCCTTCCTTCCCTCTTCCCCTTCCTCCCTGCCCTCCCTCTCTCCCTTATTTCTCTCCCTTCCTCCCTCCCTCCCTTCCTTCTTTCCTTCTGCCCTTCCCAAATCAGTGAAAATAAAATTATTACTGGAGGGGAGCTCTTGATTTAAGAGATCCCTCATCCCTGGCTTCTGGCCTGCCTTTGAATGCAACTACGGTGGCTGATGTGTGAGATGACTCGTGGTTTGTTTGGGTCTCTTCTCCACGATCAAAGAAGTGGTTAGGTACGATCCAGTTGTGACTGACATTCAGGCCCTGCTTTAAAAAAAACAAAACAAAACAAAAAAAACCTAAGGGAAACTTTCCAAATGTAAAAGCTGTTGGTTCATGTGCATAGTTGCTGAAACCATCTTTCATGGAAACTCCCCGTGTAACAAATGGCAAAATCAGCGTTGGTCGTTCTCAGTAGGGTTGAATGGCCAACGTTTGTATTCTGGGGAAGCAATAAGGGTTACGAGGTGAATGCTCCCCCCACCAGGAATTTTCTAAGCTGCTAAAAATATGTTTTTATTTGCACTCAACTTTTTGCCAATTAAGATTAAATATTAGCCTTGAAGCGCTGTATCTGTAACAGGAAGTGTTCCTTTTAATTGCTTGTGTTTGGTCCGTGGAATGAGAGAACGAATGGCTACTCTGTACATTGCAACAGAATATCAAGATTTCAGAATATAAATTTAAAGAGGGCTGAAAAATTAAATGTCCATACGGAAATTGTTAATTTTTTATGGAATGTTCTCATGTGCTGTGGCAATGATGTTGTATTTTCACAATATTTGTGTGTTTCTTCGAGTATTTTCCCCCATTAAACTATCAACCCATCTTTATAAGTTACTGTACTTATGCTGATTATTGTTCACTTTTTTCTTTACAAAATTGTGTTTCAGTGAGTGTCAAATATTTTTCTTTCTTTGGAGTTTTACTTAGAATTTTGCTGAAATAAATATATCTCTGTTCTGTGAGAAAACAAACACAAGAGAGATATAAAAAATAATTCTAAGTGACTTCATCTTCTTGAAACGTAAAAGCTAACAATTCATCCTAACTTAAAATCTAATGAGATTTGTTGCTGATTTATTTATACCTTATTTTGCTCCCAAGGTGTCTCTTAAAGCTGCTTTGTTTTAGACACAAGCTTTTAAAATGAGACAGAGAAAAAAGGTGACACCAGGGGTGAGGACAAAGCAACCACAAGGCAAGAAAAAAATTGCAGACTGTCCTAAGCACAAAATTAAGTGCTCCAGAGACTTTCAGAGGAGAGATTTCTTTGGGCTGTGAAAATCAGCGAGGGCTTCACGGAGGTGGGGAATGTTTGAGTGAATGCTGCTGACTTTCCAAAGAAACCAGCTTTATTGGTTCTACCACATTCTTCACATCTGCTTCAGCGTATGATTTGCATAGCCCTGGTGTTGACTGGTGGTTTACTGGTGAAAACACAGTGTGGGTCTCAAGTCGACTCTCGTGAAGATTCAGGTCCCTTTGGCCTTTGTCCACACATCGTACTTATGACTTTGATCAACTCTCTCACATGGTAAACATGGATGTTAGGAGGGGGCAGGGCAGAAGAAGGTGTTGCGAGCAGAGCGAAATACAAATCTGATTGTGTCATTCCCTTGCTCAAGGCGTAAAGTCCAGGCGAGGAGGGCTGGCAGGCCCAGTCCATTTTTCCAGCCTCCTGCTAGCCACTCCCTGCCACAAACCCCACACTCAAGCCACACCACACCTGTTGGGGTGCTAATGGCCCTACCCTCTCCGTTTCTGTCTAGGTGCCCGATTCCCTCAGCTTAGAATCCTTTTCATTGTTTAACTGGTGACCTTACCCTTATTTTTCAAGGGACGGATCAACTGTCAAGTGTCTAAGAAGATTCCAGGGTAAATAACCTCCAGGGTTATTTAGAATTCTCGTTATATGTCAGAATTCTCGTTATATGTCAGAATTCTCATGATGCTGTGTATACACCTCACTTACAGCTTTTGCCACATGGTATTTTAGGAAATTGTTTGAATGTTTTATTTTTCCTGAAGACTTTGAATGACTGGAGATTGGAGAGTGTATTTTCAGTTCATCAAAATTTAGCAGATATGTATGGCACATTACTATGTGATAAAGATACAATTCCTGCCTTCAAGAACTCACAGTCTACTGGGGAAGGAGGGTCACTGAGAAATCATTTCAGCAGCACGAGGTAGGTGGATAGATGCACCTAGACTCTGAGAATACAGAGAAAGGGCTATTTCTTTATACTAGGCTCTGTGCTTAAGCTGGAAATTCAACATCCAGTAAGATAGACATGTTTCCCATCTTCACGGCACTTTCCCAGACCAGGGAAATCAAGACAATAGAATGGAAGTTAGGTGGGCTTGGAAGGGCCAAGTGGAGAACGTAGGAAAGAATATTCCAGAATATTCATTTGAGTAAAGCTTCAGGATGTGTTTGGGAGACACTCGGACACTTGGGGCTGTGGGGAACACATAGCCACTGCTGTGTGGCAGAAGTGAGGTGGTGTGGACAGAGACAAAGACGGAAAGGTAATTTAAGGCCAGGTTGAAAAAAGGGTCTTTTGTGCGAGGTCAAGAAATACAGGCATTTTCTTGGAAGCCGTGAATTGTCAAAACTCTTCCAGAAAACCTTAGTCTTATGGCAAGGATAGATGTTTTCCTAAAGCCTTAATATGAAGACCAAAATAGATTTCGATGTAGTAGATCGGATTTAGTCAGTTCATACGTTTCCCTTTCACATTTTTCTTACATCTTCAGTGGTGTTAATGCTTCTTTGCCAGGAAGTAGTGGAAGGCAATACAACAATTTAACAAATTGCTATTTGCTATTAAAGGCAACATCAGAAGCTGTTGATAATCGTAGCTCAACCACTTGCCTTTTTTGTAGACATACTTGTAAAGTGAATTTCAATCTAGTAAATATATATGGTATATACCACAGTCTTATTTCCTGCTCATAAAATTGCTTATGGTTCAACATTTCAGGATGTTACACATAGCATGCCAAGATTTCCAGATGCTTTTGATTGTAAATTTGTAGAAATACTATTGAGATACAATTCACATACCATACAACTGACCTATTTAATACACACGGTTCAGTGGTTTTTAGTATATTCACAACCATCACCACAATAAAAACCTGTACAAGTTTGCAAACCACTGACCCAGGCAGTGGGGAATCATCGACAGTTGACTGCGGGCAATGATAGATGCAGGCTGACGTGAGCCATTCTTGCATAGTAAGGGAGACAGACGAGAAGCAGAGATTGGTTTATTATGGTGTCTCGGTTTCATATTGGAACTATTAGGAATGTTGACTCAAGCATCTGGATAAGGTGGGTTAGACCGTCTGTCTGCAATGAGGAGAGCAAATTCTAGTTGGAGAGACAGATGTGGTTGATAAGAATTAGAAAGAATTAGGTAAGATCCAAAAGGCGCTCTTTATTTCCTTCCGTCTGTATAATGCCCTGGTCCAGTGTTTACATCATTTCGTTACTATGATGAGGGTCTAGGTTCCTGGTGACACTAAGAGTGTAAAACTCTGTACAGGCTGGTTAGCATGGCGGAGTCCATGTGTGTACTTATTTGTCCACATCAAGCAAAAGATTAAAAATGTGTAATGAACTTATAGGAAAGTATAGTACTTAAGCTCATGACAATGAAGCTAGGTTGCCTCGGGTTCCTGTCCTGGCTTAGACAAGACCTTCAACTTCAGTTTTCTCGTTTTTAAGATGGTTTGGTTTTGGGTTTGGGTTTGGGGTTTTGGGTTTTTTTGAGATGATCAAGTAAATTAATACAAAGCCCTTAGGAAATACCTGGCACATAGCAAATCTTGAGTAAGTTAGCTGTTAACTATTTTTAACACCATTTACAATATACTGTTCACTTTAAATTTCCATCGATGCTGAAGACAAAAAAGTCCTCTAGTTGATTAAAAAGTTTCTCCGAGAACAAGATTTGCTAATCAAACATTTTTCCTTATACTCTTACATAAAAAGATGCTTGCATTTCTCCTTTCTGATGAAAACATCTATTAACTACCCCTCGTGCGTAACGATCATTAGCTATTATGATGTGTCATTAAACAATTATATCTAATTGAAGTCACATAAACTAACACTTACCAAATTAGCAGCTCTGTTCTGGCCTGGAACTAAAAACCCAGGCAAAGCTCTGAGGAGGGGAGGTTTATGGGGAGTTGAGTGTGTGGCTGTGTGAAGCCACCGTCATTTGAAATTTTTTAAATATCTAAATTCAGCTATGCAGTAAACTTTATCGGAGTCCCACTAACTTGGTCAAAATAAAGTCTCACTGAAGTGGATTAAAAATCATTGACATTGGGGCGCCTGGCCAGCTCAGTTGGTGTAGCACCCAACTCTTGATCTCGGGGCTGTACGTTCGAGCTCCACATTGGATATAGAGA